GACGGGATATCAACTACCAACTTACCAAGTGCAAGCTGAACACTTAATGAAGGAGACAACAGTTCGTCGCGTACGAATCGTACGGTTCGATCATCTGCATAAAACTTTCAACGTAGTAGAAGAAAATAACTGGGTTAACAGTTAATGCTCGGTTGTTTGCGCGTGTCTATTGTTCAGTACCGCTTATCATCTTTCCAGAAGGTTCTATGACATTAAATTGGAAAGAAAAAAGGAAAAATGAAAGAAGAGCTTAGTCGTCAGACACTATACATTATAAAGCGCTGTACTGCACATGTTTTGTTTACTTATTGACTTTGCTAACATTTTTTCTGTGTAAAATTGTTTAGATCGATTGTAGAATTGTTTTCCTGATGATGCAATTATAAACTGCGAAGGTCGAATAAATTAGAAAGAAAAAGGATTGAAAAACGAAACTTTTATCTGCTGTTAAATTTAATCAGTTTATACTCAAAACATTACGCATACAAGATAATAATTAATGAAAATTAACGAAACTGTCTTCAGATCAGAGATAGGTGAGTCCGAGTCGACTCGAGTCGCAGAGTCGTTAGAGTATATGTATTATTGATGTGCCATCAGAAACTCGAGCAAATATACTATCAGAGAGAGAGAGAGAGAGATTTGAGAATATTCTCAGTAGAACATCGCGTCACATGAGTGGACTGAAGACCTAGAAAACGACAATACAAACAAAGTTAGAAAATAGAATGATGTAATTGATACAGAACGGACAATAAAACAGACGTAAGAAAACAAAAGTATCCTATTTAATGCTTTCATGCGACAGTATTTTGAATAGTCTGCACTCTAACGATTTTCCTTTTTTTAACGCTGATATCGCTACTGTCGAGTCTATTGCTACACAATCTAACAAGAGTGAATTAACAGGCTCAGTTTTTGATGCTGAATCTGAAAAAAATATTTTCAGAAACTCAGTGAAAGCACGAACCGAAATATAAGGCGTATTTTGAAAAAAATGTGTTTTTTGAAAAATACGACATACTTCGATTTTTTCGTATTTTCCGACCTGAAACAGATATTTGTGTAAGGTAAAAAGTTGTTTTTCGTGATCAGCAACTCTCACTCTACCAAATGATGTAAAAAAAACGGCAAAAAAATTTTTACTTGAAGTTTGAATTGCCGGCACCTTATATAGATTGTGATAACGTCCCTTTTGGGGTAGAATTAATTTTTAAATTAAATTTTCACAATGAAATATAAAATCAAATAATCAAATATTAAAGTCAGACTTCCAGCACGAACAGTACCAATATCGCTACCAGAAGAATAAACCATCAAAATTCAAACCTTACTCACCAAAAGTAAACGAGCAAAAGAGACCAAATTAGAAACAATTACAAAAAAAATCATAACACCTACAGTATCAAAAAGCTATAACCACACAGCCAACTTGCGACAAAATAACACATACTAATTTATCAATATATTCCTCTGTGTTCTAATAACAACAACTCAATAATGAAATAGAGCTACTCCCAATTTAATTATCGAAAACAAAAACAACAAAACCTCCCAACTAAACTATGAAATATTATAAAAGAAATTATTCTTTGTAAAAGAACACGACATAATGAAACTATAGCACTTAAACCAATATAAACTCACTCAAGAGCCATTGCACGTAACCCGCAATGAATGTTCTTCAATCGATACTCTCAAAACTCTTTCAAACTAGAGAGGCTTTTAGACCAAACATTTTAATGAATTTATGAAAAATCCCGAAAAACATGGATTACGTCATCTTGAAAATTTGTTAACTTTGAACTCTTGTAATTCAGTAATGACAAATTACTTAACTTCGAAGATTTTATCATAAATAGTAGATAGCGTCTGCTACAACGACGCAACTGCGAGCTTAAAACATGCTTCCGTTATTTGGTAGTAGATGGCGCAATTAGAAACAAATTCAGAAAACCATGAATATTTCTGTAGCATCACCCATTTGAAACGAAGTCGACCGTGAGACTTTCAATCATGTTTCTCAATATATTATGTGCCAAAGCATGTTTGGTAAACGTTTGACGGTCTCAGGTGTTTTCGTTTTCAATACAGACAATTTCAAAGCTGCAATTTTATTCAAAACCCTCTAGTCGGCATATGAAAATCCGTCAAAAGGGAACCTATTAGCGGTTCCCTCGGTGGAGCTCGCACATAAGACCGTACTAAATAGAATCAACTTGTTGTTGTATTATCATTGAAAGAAATACACTAGTTGGAACCAGCCTATAGAACTCAGTCCATCCAACGGAGTGCCGAAGCCATTTTAGCGAAACCCAAGAATCGTAGAATGGACTGCTGCAGAATAATCCCGTTTTTATAGAGAAAATCATTCTTCAAAATCGCCAAAAAGGGTAATTTTTCGGCAAAATTGCAGCTTTGAAATTGTCTGTATTGAAAACGAAAACACCTGAGACCGTCAAACGTTTACCAAACATGCTTTGGCACATAATATATTGAGAAACATGATTGAAAGTCTCACGGTCGACTTCGTTTCAAATGGGTGATGCTACAGAAATATTCATGGTTTTCTGAATTTGTTTCTAATTGCGCCATCTACTACCAAATAACGAAAGCATGTTTTGAGCTCGCAGTTGCGTCGTTGTAGCAGACGCTATCTACTATTTATGATAAAATCTTCAAAGTTAAGTAATTTGTCATTACTAAATTACAAGAGTTCAAAGTTAACAAATTTTCAAGATGACGTAATCCATGTTTTTCGAAATTTTTCATAAAATTTCACTATCTCAGCAACGATACAACGATTTTTGATTTGCGCCTTTTGCCGAAATTCATTAAAATGTTTGATCCAAAAGCGCCCCCTAGTTTGAAAGAATTTTGAGATCATCGGTTGAAGGACCTAGATCGTGGCTTACGTGGAACGACTCTTAATAATCCAATGCGATAAACATGGCTCCTTATCATAGTTGATAAACAACAAAAACAAATGAACAAAATTGAAGTAAAATTATATCTATTAAGTAAGGTGCCCACAATCCAAAGATTGAATTAAAATTTTTTTCTTGACCAATCACACACCATTCGACGCAGTTTTCGACGCTGATTTCGAATATGTAAGATTTGTTGAGAAGAAACGCTTTCATCCGGTAGAAAACCTCCAAATACTGAAAAATCGCCCTTTTCCCGGAAAATTTCAAGTTGTTCTTTCCCAGTTGGTCTATGTTATGATCTGCCATTCCTGGCAGCTCATAAGACTATGTTCTCTTCTTCTTTTCCTTTCTTTCTGTTCATTTCGTTTGTGACTCATTGTGTTCTTGTACTACCCGTACGCAATCCTGTTCTTGCGCAACACTTGTGTCATCCTTTCTTTTCTGTTTTGCAGTTGTTTTCTAAATTCTTTCTGTTCTTGAGCAACTCTTGCACAACTTCTACCATAGCCGTTCACGTTATGCAAATAAAGATGAGAACTGAGTGAGTAGAACCAAAATAATATCACAGAGTTTGTTGACACAAAGAAAATGATTAAGACACATATTTGTTTGATTCTCAAAATTGTAGCTTTAGAAATGCAGCAATGCATAGTGAATACAAATGATATTATCGAAGTATACTTTAAGTGTTGTTTGCATACATATTTGCATAGGTTTTATTTGCTTTTTGATAATTCTCCTTGTTCTTCTTCGAACACATATTTCATAATAACAGAACAGAAAAATGCGTTATATTCAAATATGTACTGTAATCTTCTTCTGTTCTTTGTCAACAAATGTCATGAAATAATATTTCGTCGAAATAAACTTCATTTTGTGTACTCCATCGCGAAAAACATTAACGAAAAATAACAATATTCACTAACTACGTGATTTTGAATTGAGAATAAAAATTATTTTGATTATACAGGAGGATCACACTCCAAAGTTCAGTGGTCCGACCACCTCTACTCTCATCAGATTTCCTTATTTATATTTTAAAACTTTTAGTTTTAGGTTATCACAGAGTATCCACGGATGCCACAAGACTTTGTTTCTTATTTTGTGATATCCTGCTCTTTAGTAAATAAATCTTAATCTTAATCTTAATCTTCAAAAGTGACCTAATATGCTCAAAAAAGGATGGTGATTATTCTGGCATAGTATTTTGGGTGTTTGCGTCACTTTTTTGGGTGTTAGTGGATGTTAGTGGGTGTTCGTAACGGAAAAGCCCTAAAGAATCCTCTTTGAAATAAATTTTTTCGATGTTTATTTATTCACAAAGAACAGGTCTATCGACCGGCTATCTCGGATTTTCATTTGAGAGTGTTCGTGGATGTTAGCGTATTTTAGTAATACCCTCTAAAAATTCTCTATAGATCCCAAAGATATGATCATCAAGTTCTCCGTGTCTTTTCACCTAGAAATCGAAGTTTTGAGCTTCTTAACTTGAGATTTCTCTGAGTTATTCAAGGACGATCTGAAGGACTGTGTCACCCTTCAAAAAAATATGATTTTTTCTGGAAGGAAGAAAAATAAAAACAAAAGCCCACGTCACTTTTATCGTGATCATATGACAGTTCGGCTGACGTAAGATTTAGAAGTTTATCTTTTGTCCAGTCGAAGTTGTCGAATTACAATTTGAATTGTTTTTTCTCATATATCTCTCCGTAGAAACTCAGAAAGCTTTACAACCGTCAAAACCAAGTGAAAAAAAAATCCTTCCGTTCCAAATCCGAAAACGCATTACATGGGAAAATTATAATTATTCACCACATAATTATGACGAAAAAGAACAGAAACTACTTTTCTTTTATGTTTATGAATTTTCCCTACCTAGATTATTCATTCTTTCCAAGTAAAAAAAGGTTTGCATTTAGGGAAAAAAACAAGTGAATACGATAAGTAAATTTACAATTTCTGGACGTACGTATAAATAGGGGCGTCTCATTATGTGCCGTTGTCACTTGCACTCAAGCAAAAACAATCCAATTTCTTGCTTGGACACTTACAGTATTTTTTTGTATCAGAATGGCAACAATACCATTAAAACGAATTACACTTTATAAAAACGACTTGGGCTATTTTGAGCGTGCAGCCGTCGTGGAAAACTCGAAAATCGTGCTTGATGTACCAAAAGCGAACAAAAAATTGGTTATTGACACATTGTGTGTCAATTATTCGATACCAGTCACGGTCAACTATGATATCGAAGCACATCAAAAATTATTAGCTGAAAATCGCCAGGAGGAACTGTATAATTTTATCCAAACGTCCGATTTCAGCGCATTTCTCAAATCGTGTGTAGGCAACAAAATTCAGCTAACAACGGCCAAACAGAATCTGTCGGGAACCATTATCCACGTCGATAAGAAAATGTTAACAATTAGCCATGCTCAATGTCATGAACCAACCGAAATGGAAAAGACGATACTTTATATCATGATGAGTGCTGATAAATCAATCCAAAATTTTGACCTAAACATGATTGAATCAATTAAATTCATCGATGATTATTTGCAAGAGCAATTGGACAAGATGTTGTACAAAGTATCAACCGAACGAAAGCCAACATTAAAGGAGTCGGACAATGTTAAGATATATTTCGACATCAATCAACCTGTATCAGTGGATGAATCCATTCATATATCATACATATTTCCTACCACTGAATGGAAATGTCTCTATCGTTTGGAAATAAATTCAAACAAACTCGCTCAAAAATCACCGACAAAAGTTGATCTAACCCTATTTGGTGTCATCCAAAATACGACAAACGAAGATTGGAAGAATGTGCTACTATCATTGGTGGCTAATGAACTAGAAATATTAAAAAATAACAAACAAACGCAAATATCAACAGCGAAACGAGAAGAAGCGCGACCGTTAAACTATCAAATATTTTTTAAACCATTGACAGGAAAAATGCTCGTACTTGATGATCTTAAACCGTCTGACACAATTGACCATGTTAAATCGAGAATTCAAGCTAAAGAAGGTGTTCCACCGGACCAACAACGACTCATATTTGCCGGAAAACAGTTAGAAGATGGTAGAACATTAAGCGATTACAACATCCAAAACGGTTGGTTTATATTCAGAGGGCATGATAAATGCTTAAAAATGTATTTTATATTTTAGAATCGACTGTCAACATGGTTTTACGTTTACGAGGTGGTCCAGCTGCCTCTCGGCCTGAATCAAAAGCTTCTGAAAAACAGAATGTGATTGAAGATGATAATGACGATTTTGAATTGCTAGATGTATCTCAGACAAGTGGTCTATCTGAACTTGTTATTTACAATTTAAACTCGTTCACAACAATACCAGCAAAACAAAGTGCCCTCGTCACAATAAACAAATGGAATGTACACGGCGAACTTGTTCTGTACTATGACCCAAAAGTGAATGATTTAAATGCCATAAAAGCTGTTCATTTGTTCAATGATACGGGCTCAGTTTTAGCTCCTGGATCTGTGGCTGTATTGGACGAAGGACGATTTGTTGGACAGTGTCAGTTTACGCCAATGTTAGCGAAAGATGATCAAGTAAGACCTAGTTAACCTTTCATATTTCTATCTAACAGAAGAGGACAAAATAATTTTTTGTCCGTAATGTCTTTCTCTTGTTTTCGTGACAGATTAAATTATTTCTCATGTTCTTTCCTCCTAAAAAAGTCTAAGTTTCTATATTTAAAACAAAGTAAACTTAAAATTATGGGTAGCCCTATTGCCACCACTCACTATCAAGCAAAATCAAAGACAGTGTGGTGACAATTAGAGCTACGGACACCATGAAACTGAATTTAAGAATGAAGGTGTCTACTCCTACTGCTGTTGCAAAGGTGGTGGCAGGGATGAGGATGCGTAATTCTGAAGGCTATCGGTTTGCAACTTTTGAGGCCATCTTTAATGACTTTCGTGTTCTTTTTATATCATTTTAAGTTCTTTATTTATTCTGTAATGAATGCATATGAATCTAGCCGTAACTGACACCACTTACGTTTTGATTTTGCTTGGTAGTGGGTGATGTGAATAGCTCCTTGTTGACCGGTGATGGCAGGGATCCCAGATCCAAACCACGAAATTCAGAAAATAAAATTCCAAAATCAGAAAAACCTGAGAAAAAGACGTAGAAAACCAAAAAATCATTAGAGCTTAGGGCAAAAAAGAGCAGAAACGAGGCCGAAAAAGTTCCAAAAATCAAAAGATCTGCGATCTCTGGGTGGTGGCAATACTCATTCCGTAAAATTATATATTACATACTGCTACAGTAGAGCTATTTAACGATTACTCCATTTTTTATGTGAAAGAAGTTTATGAAAATATGTAATGTCATGAAATAGAAGTTTGTTTACAGGTTAGAAAATGAATAAGTTTTAAATAGATGAAATTTGTTTGTAAGCATTTCTTCTTATTCATGTCGTAGATTTTTTCATTTAAAACTTTTTTTCTAACGTTTCGATGAATGAACATTCATCTTCTTTACTTGGCTGTGTAAAGAATCTACAAATCGAAATCCAGCTTTTTTTATGTGAACAGTTTTGATTTATTAAAACGTTTCTAAAACGAGTTTCAAATAGAAAAATATTCTCTGAATGCGAAGAAACGCTTATAAATTATTTTCAAACCTATGCATAAGTAAATGTTGTATATCAGCAGCTCAATTTTGAACGTCTCAAAATATACAGTAGGTTGCTGACTAAAGTTATGATGTCAAAAATTGATTTTTTTCTTCTAAAAGCCATCAGTGCGTTCTCTTTCTGCTATTTAGTTTTCTATCTTTACAACACACGAACTCGAATTAGACGCACCGTTTTTATGAAACTATGAGAAAAACTCTAAGCGTTTGATGTCAGACCTAGTTAAACATTTTTTCTTCTTTAATCAATTGAAAATGTACTTTACTTCAAGCCTAGTGAGCAGCTAGTACACAATTTCAACCAGCATGCAGCGAGATAAATGTAGGGGGGGGGGGGGGGGGGGGGGGGGGGGGGGGGGGGGGGGGGGGGGGGGGGGGGGGGGGGGGGGGGGGGGGGGGGGGGGGGGGGGGGGGGGGGGGGGGGGGGGGGGGGGGGGGGGGGGGGGGGG